ACTTGACGTTAATCATTACCATGGCAATGTTTTCATGTTGTTATACAGTACAGAGAGAAGTCATAAAGAACAAGAAACACCATCTCCGGTGTAAAATAAATTAACATTTATTGCTGCTTTGGGGGCAGATTATATATATTAAATATATATAATTTCTTAACATAGTTACGATACAAATGAAGTGGCTGGTTTCTTTTTCTTCATAGTAAACAGATAACGAGTGTGGTACAGTCTGCCATCCTAATGTATAACTTTTACTGATGTTAGTAATAAATTTCCTGAAATGACCCATCTTTAAAAAAGATTGCCTATCCTAGCTTATTGAGCATAAACAGAGCTAGAGGAGGGTGAATATTGGACCTACATTCAAGTCACAATGATTGATAATGTTGCTGTGTCACCGCTGTTTAACAGTTATTGCAGGTTTAATGTTATTTTGGGATCCCTTGTAGTTACAAAACCACGGAGAACTAGAACCTGACTCTGCAGTTCCCCTCAGCGCCACGAAGAGTTGTAGCCTTTATCAGCTAATTGTTTTGGTTTCAAGGCCCGGAACTTTTGATTAAGACTCGCCGTTGTTATCCGCAGCATTTACAGCGGCAGCAGGCAGCTATTTTCAGTGAAAAATGCTCTGATAAACCCACTGTAGCCAAACAGCAAAAGTTAACAAAGTTAGCGATTAGCTGGTGCCCGTAGCGAAGGATTTAGTAGCTAAGGAGCCAGATATTTCCCTCAGGAGATGGTAGAGACCAAAAACAGAGCTAAAAGAAAGTGAATCTTGTAGTCACAGAAACACGACTCCTAATGAATGCTAACATTGCTCCCGGATGTGTAAAAGGGCAGCTGTTTGCTACAGTAAATATATAAACTGAGAATATGTCAGTGTTGCGTTACTGCTCGTTTCTGCTGCCCCTTAGTGGTCAAGAAATTAACTGATGTTGAATTAAAGTAGCAACTTGAGTAAATAAATTAAAGGAATGATTAGATACTGACAGCTTGGAGAGTAAGCAATGTAGGTAATGGCGGGTATATTTACTGTCAACACTGCCATTGTACTCAGTGTATACATACTTAAACGTTTCCAAGTTTGCTTGGGGAACACACTGAATTAAACGTAACGGGGGGGGGAGGTGTAGCTAGTAGAAGCAGTTCAGTTTGTGAGAAGCATATATACTCTGCTAAAATATTGACTTCAATAAAACACTTAAAGACATTTGGGAGTTTCTCATCACGATTATTTAGTAAGATTAATTTCCACCCGACTAGTTGCCATTCACTAGTTCTTTGGTAAAGGAAAAAGCTGCAGACACACAAAAACCAAAACACATTTCGAAGGCAAGACAAGGCTTTAAGTAAATCTGTAACTTTGGCTGCATGGGGCTTTGTTTTCTTAATCCTGTCCTGGAGGTTCAGAAAATGAGCTTAGTGTAATGGAATACCCGTATTTTGGCTCAACAACTAATTTGGGCGACACCCCGGGAACGAGCCAAGAATTGGGCCTTGAAAAGCCTGTCAATGGCCGTAGACAGCCCGCACGTTTCTCCGCGGCTCAGGAAGGATTAGTGTTTGGAAGCGATTGCCATTAGTCTGCTGCACAATGCAGAGAGGCCTCAGGCGTTTCCTTGTCAGGAGACATGCAATTGAAAGGACAACAGAATATCTTGTGTGTGTGCAATACAACCACACTGAGACACATTAAGCCTCTTTCTAGCTCAAAAGGAGTGACTTTTCTGAAAACAAATACACAGGAATTAATGGAAATAAAGAGTTTGTGGAGTAATATGTCTTTCCGGGGATGTTAGATCATGTTGGTAACGTATGAAGATTATAACAATCTTTAGGACAGCGTATCGCTCTATAAAAAGGTCAAACGCAGCTTACTGACCCCCACACTGAGCATACTGTTATGACAAAGCTTCAAACTACACGCTGCATTATTAAGAACTCTGCCAAGATGTTCATGTTCAGGTCGCCTCGTCTTTTCATTCCACTGTGGTGGAGTCCGTTCTATTTGTCAGCCATCACTTTTCTGCGGGGACCAAATGAGGACCGGAGGACTTTTTAAAAACCTTCAAAACTCTCGAGAAACTTTCAAGTACAGCTTTCTGATTTTCACTGCCTCATAATCGCAAAGTATTTTTGCTTTGGAGTACTTCAATGTGGGAGAGTCCACACACACACACACACACACACACACACACACACACACACACACACACACAGTGAGAGACACAGGACCTGAGCCACAGCCTCGTCTCCTTCTGCGTGTGTATGCAGAGATGAGCAGGACCGCACCTTCTGTGAGCGCTACCTGACACTGGAGATGCACGGGTACCAGTGAAGGGTTAGCTTTCACTGTATTGTTTTTTTTTGTTTGTTCTTTCTTTTGCTCCTCCTGCTTCTTTTAAACATAGACTGATACGGGGCGTTAAGAATATTAGCATACAATGCTCTGGTATTTATTGTTTTTTACGTAGTCTCTTTTAGTCAAGCAGGCCTAAGGACATGAAAGACCTCGATCAAGTAGCGCTGGATGTTCTGGAGTTTCCTGCTTCCATCTCAACACAAACTTTCTGTGTGACCTGTGGAATTAAGCTACCAGCTATCTGAGCTCTGAGGACAACATTCAGTACTTTTTTTTGGGGGGTGGAGGAATCCTATTTTGATTTCATTTTTTACTATCAAGATAATTACTTTCACAACAGGTATGCATTTTTTCTTCATGAAATACTAAGTTGTTTCTGCTTCATCCGATTTTAAAGAAGGTATTGAACCTGGTTCTGTGACATAACAATGGATTGAATCGAGCAATCCTCTGTCATTGAAGTTGTTTTTGCTATAACTGGAAGTCCATTATAACGTGAGGGGACAGAGATAGATGTTATTATTATGTTATACAGTGGTATTACAAGGCAGATTTTTAAATTAAGATCATATAATGTCAAACATGTCCAGATTCTATGAATTATTACCTTCAAATATATCTATTATTGGACAAGGACTTTTACATATTTAAAAAAAAAAAAGTAATTTTTTGTCACATTCTCCAAAAAACGAAATAGACTTAACAGGGGACAAAGGATATTGCTCATAAAAGGCTGTGGTCAGACACATCCGCTGATAAAAGCATTGATTCTCTGTTTAACTGTCGTAAAAGTCTCCCGTTTAAAGAGACTGACCGCGTTATTCTGCACTTCATCTCAGACATGAGGGGGGATTTTTGTGGGGCCCGAGATCTTTCAGCTATTTCTCAGCACAGTGAAGTGAGAAGGGAGGGGAAGCGCAGCCGACACAAAAGGCAACATTATTCCCCAGCGGATCTGCGCTACATCCTACCATGAATGGAGTATTGAAAAACATAACATTGGGGACTAGATTATTTTTCAGCCCTCATAACGGAGCCATTTGTCCCAGAGTTTCGAGTGGATTGTTGGTACGGTCTGCAAATGAGACAGCCGTGGTTCTCGGGTGCTGTGCTGGTGTTAAACTCCCCACCTCCCAATTGGACGCACAATGATCTCTCTTGTGGGCCTCTGGCCTTCCATGCTGCACCTTTTCATACAATACGACGGTTTAGTGAGAACGGACCCGGATGAAGACTGCACGACCCAGAGTCATGACTGTGGCTGCCGTCAAGTGCTTTTTTTTTTTGCCACTAATGGACCCGCAAAGCTTGTGTGTTAAATGTACCCTCCACAAGCTGAAGATAACTGTGTATACAGTAGAGAAGCTAAAGATTTTAACACCCCACCCCCCCACCCCCACCGTTCCACCCTTGCCTCCAAGGAGACGAGAGGCGCCCCTGCATTGTCATCGGGTGCCTAAGCGTTCTGGAGGGTTCTAGTGACAGATTGCAGGAAGCAGCGTTTATGCCTGACGATGGGGACCACAGAAAGCAGAAATGTCTTTTTGTGCCCCCTGAGCCCGGAATGTCCACTATCTCGAGGGGCCAATATCAAATTCTCCCCTCATCATTCCCTAATACGCATTCCTGTGTAAGGTCAGGGGGAATTCTGCATGAGCGAAGAGACAAACAACCCAAGGCCAAGCCGCACACTGTGTGTCTCCTAATGACAACACGCTCCTCATAACAGCATTCATTGATTCCTGGGATATTTGCTTGAAAAGAATAAGGGAAATTGAGCCACTCTAACGTCCCCATTTCATTGAATACGGTATTGCTTGTTTTATATTCTTTTTTTAAGTTTTTCCTCACACAACAGCTCATTGTATTGAAGTGTTTGAATCCTCCTGCAGTGTACATGTATATGAATCGTCCCAGTTTCTCACTTGAGAAGAATGTGGGCTATTCAGCGTCTGACCGCAGTGCTATCTAACCCCCGATTATTGAGTGATTGTCGGTGAATCCCAATGTTCTTCGTCTGTGGGGAAAATCCCCATGATTATCAAAAACCACGGCGCGACACAGGAGACACAGCTTGTGTTACAGACACGGCCGTCTGAGACACAAGCCCTCACCAGCTCTGTTACCCGCTGCCAGTGCAGGTGCACGGCGGCCATTTTGTACTGACTGTACAAAAACAGCAACGTGACTCTACTCCCTGTTCCTGGTGTTTTATTGGCACAGCGGCGGCACTTTTCGATGGTACATGCCAAACGTCTGGGAAACCGGGGCTCCTGGTTTGCTCTGAGAAGTGTTGGTGTGCCACAACAACTCCCTTACAGCTCCCTAATGTCCACGGGGAGTGATGTGCATCACGTGGAAAAGATTTATTTTTGAGCTACACATTTACCAACCCTGACCTCAGCCAGACTACCATCAATACCTCCTACAGCACCATGACAACAGCTGCAGGCTCCACCAGAAAAAACAATCCAATACCGTAATTAGGCTGCTCTGAACCAGGACAAAATTGAGTGATCGTGTCTACCAAACAATTGCCTACTACATTGAGAGCTGTGTTCACATGCAACGCAGGGCTTTTGGGAAGCTTGATGAGAGAGACTGACTAGTGTGTGAATGTGTGTGTTGCAGGCGGATGGTCAGTCAGGCAGCCATGCGAGGCCAGCGTGCGGTGGAGAGCAAGTGCAGGTGCTGGAACCCGGCCGTCTGGCTCCAGGTGTCCCTGCTGGGGTCTCTCGTCTTGGTGGCTGTCAGTGTGCTGCTGCGACTCGGTGAGTGTGTGTATTGGGGGGGGGGGGGGGGGGTTCAAGGCCACTTGGTCCAAGCTGCCTGACTGTAGGAGTTCACCTTCTGTCGTGCAGAATGCTGCATGCGATCAGAGGAAGCAACTCTATTTCTCTCTATGTGGGCCCCATTTTGAGAAATTTTGTCAGACAATAATTTAGAAGAGACATATTGGAAACTGGAAGAGCCCACATACGCCCACGCTCACACAATAGCTCAAACTCATGACAGAGACAGCTGGATTTGAAAATATGATTGCCAAGGTAAAGAACATTTCAAGTAGAACTGACCAAACATTACAATTACAGATACAATTACAGATTCACAATCTTCGAGGAGGTGTGGAATGCTTGCAGATTTGTGTGTATATGTATATGTATTCGGTATATGTGCAGCAATGTGTATATATGGGTGTACATGTGAATGTCCTTGTAGCTATTTAAGTGTTGAATATATTCTTTTTATTACTGTCTGTTAAACCTATTTTTTGTATCTATGTTTAATGTTAATACATTAAATGAAAAAAATGTAATGAAAAGAAAAATCAAGTTTAAACTAAATGCTTTATTTTCATTTGCGCTTTTTACTTTGAAGTAATAACATCACGTGACATGTTTTCAAAGGACCGTTCTTTAATTACAAGTGTGGTGCATTGTCAGTGTTAAACAGAGCAATGTGAAATATATATGGAAAAGTAATAGGCCTGAAAGTTTGGTGCGCTTGTTTCAAGTTCTCAACGGCAAGTGTCGGATTATTAAAGGATATAATTTCCTTTAAGGGGAATTTTTCATACACTGGCTCAGGATCAGAGTTTGGTTGCCGAAAGATTGAAACTGATTCCGAGCTTTATCTAAAGCTATGTCTGCTAACGTATCATGAAAAAAACTCTTAAACACGATGGCAATTTGGATCGGTAGTTCTAAAATAAGGGCCATCAACATTTTGCTGGCCTCTCCAGTCCACAGACTGAATTCATTTTTAGACGCTTCATGTTCTAATAGCTGCTCCGAGGGAAACCGTTACCACGCCATGAACTGAAACAGAACGCGACACATGAGTTGATTTCTTGTGTGTTGGACCTGAACCACACTCTGGGCGTTCATAATCCTCAGGGACTGGGTGTGCCTGCAAGTGAGGTCCCTGTAGAGGAGTGCTTGTGTGTCAACAGTTTCTGTCTGCCCTGTTTACCAGTGGCAGCTGGCTAAAAGCTCTGAAGAATTTTGAAGGATCAATTCCGCTCAATGGACGTTATGGATCAAGAAATGTCAAGAGAGAGCAATTTATTCAAATGTGTTGTGTGTTGCTGTTGTCTCTTGATAGAGACAAGGGAAATCCAAATGAGTGCCTTACTAACATTTTGTGTGTGTTTTCAAATTTCAGGAGACTTGAAAATAAACAGACGGGCTGTATCCAGTAAGTAATATTTAAGTTATTTGCGTTTTGCTGTTGAACTAGTTCAGGCCCTGAACTAGTAATAACCTGCAAAAATAAGAATTGGCAGCCATGCTAGTATCTAAATGCTAACGCCAACGTGCTGATGTGCACACAGTGACAATACCAACATGCTGAGGTTCTTACTTTAGCATGGTAGCATGCTAACATTTGCTAATTAGCACAGTACACAGCACAACATTTTGACCTGAGGGGAACATGAATGTGTGTACCAAATTGCATGACAATCCATCCAATAATTGTAGAGAAATTTCACTCATACCATGATTGTGAACCTTAATGGGGACGGCAAGCGGCAACCTCAGGGTCTGAAAAGTGAAGTCAATGCAGAAGTGCCTTGAACTTGCACTCCTTTTCATGACCACCAGGGGGCGACTCCTCTGGTTGCAAAAAGATGTCCGATTGTATAGACGTCTATGAAAAAACTACCTTTTAAACATTGTTAACACAAGTTTGTGGCCTTAATTAATAGTTTCAAGTCATTTTTAATACAGGATGATGCTCATTTATTATGGTCCATTCAGAGGAAAATAAATGATAAAGCATAGCATGTTTTAGGGCGTGGCTACCTTGTGATTGACAGGACGTTTGGAGTTGTCCGTTTTTGTCTGACAAATTTAACCCTTTCAAGATTTGATCTCAGTTTGTGAATGTTAACTGCAACATTTTGGTCACCTGACAATGTCTTACTCTGCGTTTGGTTGCACAGAGCTTCATCCTCTTGTGTCACTTCTGGTTGCAAAAACCACGATGGTGACGCAAAAATGCTCGAACACAAGGCTTCAAAACATCAGTCCACAAACCAATGGGGGAAGTCAGGGTGACTACGTCCATCTCTAATTTACTGTCTATGGGTAGCACTAGATGAAAAGTCAGGGGAGCACCAATTTTACTAGGATGCATCCTCTGAGTACAATCAATTTCTGTATAAAATTCTATGCCAATCCATCCCATAGTTGTTGACTTTCCCTCCCTTTCCATGCTGCTAGCGTGGCTAAAAACCCAAATTAAAAGGAATAGGCTAAGATACAGTATTTCTGTTGTGGCTGGTGCCCTATGTGGTCTGAACAGGCCTCCTGTTGTGGTTTCAGTCTGTGTCTAGTGTTACAGGAAAATAGATATAGTAGATATAGAGTACAGTAACTATGGAAGGCCAAGAGCCTCCTTTCAACAAATAATTTGTACTCTCCCTCTGTCTCTCTCCATATCCCCTCCTCCCTCCCGTTTCAGCCAATGGCGGACAAACCCCCGAGAGGACGCAGTACCATGGTAAGCATGAGCGGGCACCTCCACCTCTACACCTGCCCAGACACTCATGTTGAGGGAAAACATGTCTGCATCCAGGCCACGATATAAAAACACATCAGTGGCTGTCTGTGTGTCAGTGAAAGAGAGTACAGATCAGTGCCTGGCGCTTTTTAAACAAGGTCACTTTCCCAGCTCTCCATTTCCCTAATCCCCACTTATTTGCTATGTAACCTCCCACCCACCTGCATCCACCTCACTCTCTTCCAAGGAGTTATGTGGCTTATTGTGTGCCTTAACTTGGTAGGATTAGACTTTTTGCTGTTATTAGTCATTACATTAGAGGCATGCTGGTCTGTCTTCTCATTTTTTTCCCCCCCAAAACAGAATCATGTTGTTAAATTGTCCCTGAAACAGTAGAGCTTTTTTAGGGCCTCAGAATTGTCAGTGTGTTGGCACAATCCCGATCAAACAACCTGAACGCCCTCATCTGACTCAAAGACAGGGAACGGAGTTGTGTTTAAACGCTAACGGCGAAACGTATCTGACAAATATTGTCCGCTTATCTCTCCAAAGTACAACTGGTGAATGGACGCAACAGGTGTGAGGGTAGAGTCGAGGTGTTCTACAATAACTCATGGGGCACAGTGTGTGACGACGACTGGGATATGGTGGACGCCAACGTGGTGTGCCGGCAGATGGGCTGCGGAACGGCAGTGGGCAGACGCTCTCAGTTCGGACAAGGCTCAGGGCTCATCCTGCTGGATAATGTGGACTGCAATGGGAATGAAGAAGATCTCAGCCAGTGCCGCAGTCTGGGCTGGGGCGTCCACAACTGTTACCACTACGAGGATGTGGGTGTTACCTGCAGAGGTAAAGTCTTTACACAACTTCTAAAGCCTAGTGTAGCATCCATGCAGGTGACGCCTTGCATGGTAACCCCTGGCATCAGTGTATGAATGGGTGTGAATGGGTGAACGGCATGTGGTGTAGAGCTCTTTGAGTGGTTCGGAAGACTAGAAAGGAAAATAACTAATTTGACAACTTTTAGGACCTAATGATTCAAGTGTGCGTACTGGGGAAGTTGATTTACCTAAACAATTAAAAACTATCCGCTGAGTTACATACATCACTTTCCCAATGTAAGTCTATGGGAAAAAGTATTTTCTTGGCCCCATGGCATCACGTGACGGACTAGGAAATTGTAATTACATTGTTTGGTCACTATGTAAAATAACTCAAACCCTAGCACTCCCCCTGGGGTCTTGGGCTGTCCCAGGACAACATCCAATAAATGTCTGTAACTCACTGAGGAAAAGGTGTATTTTCCCAGATTTCCCAGGGAGCTCCAACACACATTTTAACTATTAAAAAAAACACAAATTCCTTTGTTGAATATGGAGTTATTCAACCTATTTTTTCACTTTACTTTTTTAGGTTAAACATGGTATGCTCACACAAAAGTAATGTATGATGATGACTTTACACTGCTCCAGGAAGAAAGGGTCGGTTCCCTTGAATCATATGGACTACACTTACTTACTGAACGAATAAGCTCAGAATTGGCAAACATATCAAAATGTGACTTGGCTGAGGTAGTGGTGAATCATCGCTCTATGTATGACCCCAGAAAGAGAAGAGGACAATGTGACTAAAATCCCTGCCTTCTTTCTATTTTGCTGCTAGAACCAGCGGTGGTGGGGGCAAAAGGTTTTGTGGATCGCACCACGCCACCGCCCGGGAACTCCGGTTTACGTAAGTGCTGCCTGCTTTTATCTAAATTACACTTGTCGTCTGCCAGCCTGAAACATCAGAGGGACACATTTGTCTTTTTTTTTTTTTTTTTGAAGCATAAAGATAAATTGCCAATATCCAGTAACAAATACGGTCATTTTGAGATAATATACGACACAAGACTATTTGAAAAATGAATACTTGTAAACAGGATGTGTATAACTACAACCCCAGATAGGGAAACAGTATAACTTGCGCAGTATGTGAAAGGGGTCGCTTGTACACTAGTGGTGAACCTCAGCACCAGATGGGAGGCAGGCAAAGTTGCTGGCTGGCTGGAGAACAACTTTGAGCATTGAGCAGTGGAGACAAAAACAGAACTAAACGTAGAGCGAATATTGGACTTCATTCATCAAGTGGCCAGAAATATGCTTCAAAATGAATGTTTGAGTTTTCTAACATGTTAGCCATATCAACCTTAAAAAATGTGATAAAATGTCAGTAGTTTTTTTCACAGCTTGTTTCCACTACCCGCAAGTTGCCAAACAAATTGCGGGTCTAAGCATATGACCTTGAAAGACGCAAACCACACCTGTATGTGGCGTTAATCTTTAGCAAACACGGCTGATGAAATTACTCGCCCACCTCTAAAAAGGGAATCATGCCAGGCTGATTTGCATAAAGGTTTAAGGACAGATGCTGCATTGTCTGTTGAAATAAGTAGATCAGACCATTGTTCATGTGCTCGTTCCAATGTAACTTTAAAAAATGTGATACACTGTAGGGAATACTTAGAGAATATGTCATATATTCAGAGGAATTGAACTTAAGACCAGCTTTTCTCTGCGTTCATTTAGATAATTGTTTTATGCTCTGGGATCAAATTCAGAAAAATACACACACACAAATCTATCAGACAGGTGGCATGCCAGATGTTACCACAAAATGCAGGGGCAGGCTTTATTAAATAATGAATGATGGCTTATTTTGTCATTGCGCGGGTCCACAATGCAGAAAGCACACAGCCAAGCGTATTTAGAAAATAGGTTTATCAAAAAAATGTAAATTAAATGGAGGGATATATGATATCAGTTTTGCAAAACCGTCATCATATTTTATACAAGATCAAAAGCTTTTCAGCTCAGTAGAAACTATATTTTGGCAACAATACACCTCAAAAGGCCTCTTGAATTCCAGGCCGTCCTTATTGTTTGCTGGGTTTGCCTTTGTTGTGGTTGTTTTTTACCCTTAATTCCCAAGAGGAGACAAGAACAGAATTTTGTGAACAAGTGACGTATCTAGAAACCCACAGGGAGATGTAGTAAAGTCATCCAGATTAATGGGAGCATATTTTTTAAATGATGGACACATGAGATTGTCTATTGTCTCGGTTAGAAGGTGTGTTTTTGTCTAAGCCGGGGCATAATGACAACATCTGTGCTTAGTGCTATATCAGATGTTCACCTTAACTTCCTCGCTTCAGGAGCCACAGAGGCCCACACCCTTCTCCTTACCCTGTATCAATGTCTGTTTGTCTTCAGCACACATACACCAATCCTAGCAGTTATCCTAGCACATAATGAATTTGACATTAATAAAGATTCTGATAGAATCAAGTGTTAAAATATGTTGCAGAGAAAGATGTATTCAACACCAGTCCCTATAATTCCCTCCCTCTCCATCTTGGTTTAGGAGACGGCACCATCCGTCTGGTGAGTGGACAGAACGCCTGCCAGGGCCGGGTAGAGGTCTACCACCAGGGGGTCTGGGGGACAGTGTGTGATGATGACTGGGGCCTCAAAAATGCCCAGGTGGTGTGCCAACAGATAGGCTGCGGCAGTGCCGTCTATGCACACACCAACTCCTATTTTGGCTACGGAACCGGCCAAATTCTCCTGGACAATGTCAATTGTCAAGGCACTGAGCAGGACCTGTCTATATGCAAAAGCCTGGGCTGGGGCAAACACAACTGTGGCCACCATGAGGACGCTGGGGTCACCTGCATTGGTACACTGCTCTTAGTCATGGAATATGAATTAACACAAGTCGTACGGATGTAAACTAGGAATCCTTATCATTATTTAAACAAATAACTGTACAAATAACAATACTAAAGGTTTACAGCCATGCTAGCAGCTCTGTCGAGCTAAATGCTAACGTCAGCATGCCAACATGCTCACATTAATGATCCTAAGATGCGGATGTTAATCAGGTGGCATGTATGGTTTGCTATGTTCAGAATCATAGTTTAGTGAGCTAGCATGCTAAACACAAAATACAGCTGAGGCTGATGGGAGTGCCATTAGTTGTTTGTTTTAGTATATGGTCATAAACCAAAGTACTAACAAAGTAAAATGTTGACCTCACAAAAGTTCCTACTGAGGGGGACACTTTTGTACCAAAATGCAAGATAATCATTGTTGAAATGTGAACCTCAATGCTGGAGCTAGAGGAACAGTCTGAGGATAACCAAAGTCAGTAGGATGCATCCTCTGGGGACCATGAATCTGTACCAAATTTTAAGGCAGCCCATCCAATAGCTGCTAGCATGGCTAAAACCTGCATACTAGCCATTTCTTTACAGTGACTATTTACTGTGACATTTCTTCTGTTTATATTCAGTACTACAGATTATGACAAGGTTAGTTATTAGTAGTTGTGGTAATACTAGTGGTTGTGCCAGCAGTAAGGTGGCATTAGAAACAATAGTGGAGATGATTAGCTTGACCACATGTAGAGAATAAGTCAGTTAGTAATGTTGAGGTAGAATTATAAAACGCTAACATCTTTTAAAGGTAATTAATTGATTCTCTGGAAATAGTGAATAAGGAGGATGACATGAGTTTATAATGACAGTAGTATAGTAGTGGTTTGTGTGTTAGTACAAGTAGTAGTTTCATTTAATTTAATTTCCATTTCTACCCACTTTAGGATCCACCACTGTACCTCCTTTGGTAACAGAAAACCAGAGAGGGCTCGGGGTAACATATAACACTGAAGGTATATATCCATAATACACGTCGGACGTTTATCTGTCAGCAAACACACACACACACACACACACACACACACACACACACACACACACACACACACACACACGGATTGCTAGTAGTAGTAGCATGTCCAATTTGCTTTTGCTAGATTATTTTTTCCCCTGAATAAAATTGTGCATTTTGCCAAATGACCAACAGGGAGAGCTATTTCTCCCCCACTGACTCCAGAAGTGTTACGCCACAGTGCCACGAATCATGGTGGTAAAACTGTGTAAAAGACAAACCTCACCATATTCATCAGGAACAGGTCTGTCACGCTGAGGTATGGAGACACATTAGCTATCTAATCATACATCTCATCTTCCCTCCAGCAACAGAAAACATTCCAGTCACCACAAGACCAACGACAACAACTGTTACCACAACTGTCCAGACAAAAGGTAACAATTTTAAACTTTAAACACGATTACAGTATGTTTTAATATTGGATTAACCAGGGAATATTACAGCACTTATGCAATTGTGGGGAAAGAGCCACTGCGATGATGTATCTGTCTCTATATTCCTGTGCAGGCAGACCAGCCATTCGTGTGATGAACGGTAACAGTAGCTGCCAGGGTCGTGTAGAGGTCCTCTACAAAACCGTTTGGGGGACGGTGTGCGACGACGACTGGGACATCATCAACGCCAACGTGGCGTGCCGGCAGATGGGCTGTGGCAAAGCTATCACCTTCAAGGCCCACTTCGGCTACGGTTCGGGTCCGATCCTGCTGGACAACGTGGATTGTAGCGGCATAGAACAGCAGCTGTCCGACTGCTTCAACCTGGGCTGGGGTCAGCACAACTGTGGCCATCATGAGGATGTCGGAGTTATCTGTGCACGTAAGTCTGGACCTCTCTATCACCATGTGGGGCCACAGCAGGCCCCATCAGACATACATTCATGACAGAGCACATATACCGGGCTTGAACGTTGGGAAATGTCTGCATCGCAAATCGCTATCTTAAGTCATCAATTCCACTGAAAGTTCATACTTCCTTTTTATCTGCTCGTCTGTGCTCGCCCTGCTGAGCTGTCCAGTTGCAATGCATGATTGTAGTACTCTAAGGAGGAGACGGCCAAGAGAGCATAAAAAATACAGGAGATGAGTCAACGCACATTAGCGTCACTGCCTCCCTTCAGGCCAAATTCCACTTCTTCAAGGCTAAATCAAAAGCACATACAGACTCCCCTTTACTGAGGTCCTTGGTCAATCAGAAAATATGATTACACGTCTTTTCTAAAAAAGTGGATTTTAATCAGTTGTCTTTCGGAGTTATTGGCAAACAGTTATTGAAATTGCTAAACAATGTTGCTGCAAAGTGTGTCTCTGAATTGCAGAATGTTTCTGCATTCCTCTGCTTCCCTCAGCTTTTGAATTCTTGATTGCAAATATACGTGACTTCCCAGTAACAGAAAGCATACCTGCCACCACCACGCCTCCCTCTGAAGGTAGGTTAAATATATCTTCAACTAGCACAAAAAAAAAAAAATGAACCCATTTCCTCAGGACTGGGTCTCACGTGATTCTTTTTTGTTTTCGCAGGAATGGTGAGACTGGTGGATGGCCAGCACCAATGCGAGGGTCGGGTGGAGATGTACTCAGATTCTGGATGGGGCACGGTGTGCGACGATGCTTGGGACCTCCCCGACGCTCGGGTCGTGTGTCGCCAGCTGGACTGCGGCGAGGCCATGGCGGCTCGGGGAGAGGCGTTCTTCGGGCCTGGCTCAGGGACAATCCTGCTGGACAATCTCAAGTGCAGCGGCGCGGAGGCCTCCCTGCAGGAGTGCTCCCATATATCCTGGAGTGTGCACAACTGTGACCATTCTGAAGATGCTGGCGTCACCTGCTCGCTGTCGTGATTTCAGCAGAACCACACTCCCATCTCCACCATGGGTCGGAGGTGGGCGTACCAACCTGGGACTTGTATATTATTATGTAAATAACAGCTTCCACATTGCTGAAGGAATACTCCACCACCAACAACATGCAAAATAACTAATGTGACAATATATAATTACATACTATAAACTATCTATGCCTATTAAGCACTTTATAAATAAATATGACATAAAATACAATGTACACCGTTTTTTAAATTGTTTTTATTTTAAACAAAGCTTTTAACTTTCTGACTCTTATTTTCCCCAAAATGTTTAAATATTTACTGTACATGTGATTTGTTGATGATTAGGGGAAGAACACTAGAGGAAGATCTTCAGTTATTAATTATGTGGATGAAAGGAGAAACGTTTGTAAATTTCAGCTCCAAAATTTTGCAAATATGTATGATAAAGAAAGCTGTGAACCACAAATAAACAAACAAATGATATACTACAAACAACAATGCGAGATAACACGAACATCCGCAAATAAACGTGTTATATTTGACGAATACAGCAACTCTCCATCCACAAATACATAATGTGTTACTTGTGTTCTGTAAACCACCATATAAATAAATGTTACTAATAATCATTTACATATGACAAAATAAATGCTCTTATTTTCGGTATCTAATATAATTTGGGTGTAAAATCCATATCTGTCACTGTCCTAAACATGTGATTTAATTTTGTATTCTTCTCAGATGGCACATGCAAATATGGTGAGTCCACCATAGCTGGCAACTCAAAATGTCTTCATTTACATGGGGAGAGCATGAGATTTAGAGTTGGGCATGTTTAAACCTTTTACTTCTCAAGCCAGCCCCTTTTCTTCTGGTCATTTACCATTTGTAGCTACTAGCTAATAGAAATATGCTAATTGTTAATACATGTCGTTCGCCTAGTCAGCCAATGTAACTAAGAAAAAAGGAGTACCCTAGTTCATATGTAAATCTAAATTAAAATAAGTCATTATTAGTCAAATTGTACTTGAATGAATTTGCATCCTAAATTAGTATTTCGAAAAGTAAAACACAATAATTTAAGTTGGACTTTTGAGTCATTAATGAAGATACGTGTAGGCCTAGCATGAATGTAGTTAAGAAAAGAAAAAAAGCTAAAATGGCTTTCAGTAGTCTGGCCGGCTCAAGAGCAAAGTTGGAGCTTATCAATCAATTTTTATCAATCAATCAAATTATTGGCTTTAAAAAAAAAAAAAAAAAGATTTTTTTGGTGATGTCATTAAATTAAACTATTGTTTCTCACACGGACAAGGTATTTATAACATGCTACATATGTGCGTGCGTTCTGGTTTGTATGTTTTCTCCCCCTTCAAATTACAATCCAACAGCCTATCATCATACTGAACGATATAAAGTTGACACTGTCAGGTCCATTCTCCATCCATTGTGTGCGGTCCCTTTAAGAATTAGGATTTGGGAGTGACGCGGATATGAAAGCTAGTTTATCCGTCTTTCCTTTACAAGCAGGAAAATTATTTCTCTCTCTTTATTCGAGAAAAGTTCATATTTGCGTTGTCAAATTTCACTATGACCCTGAAATTCTGTCTCTTGTGTTATCATATACTGAACTACAGAGCAAAATCACACTCTTTCTGATTGAACCAATCTATGAACTGTCTGAAACAATGGATATCCGCGGCCCCAAATGGGCCCCAAAAAAAAATGTGCTATGCGTGCAAACATGCCACTCCCCTAGGGGCTAAGCCCCCCCTTTCTTTGAATCCTAGAAACGCCCCTGGCCTGCACAAGAGGGCGTGTTTGATGACTCATGATAAAATGACTCAGCATGTCAGCTTTGTGAACTTGCTTAATACGTAGTCACAAAGATAGTTTCACAAACAACTTATATTGCATGAGAACAAACCGCTAGTAAAGGGATTTTATATTAATACAAATTCAGCACTAATTCGCCATGATTTAAATGATAAAAAGTGCACCTGTTAATGAATTCTAAATCTTTAACTTTGAAATGTTATTTGGCTCGTTGTTATGCTTCTCCTCTACCAAGCAACGCGATTGCACTCTTGTCAAAAACAAGAACACAAGATATGAACTGCTCTGTGGTCACGGGTGTGTCTTTTCTTTAGCAGCAGGCTTTGAAAGGTGACTCAGCCAATCAGACCTGAGGACAGCAAATCTGTCTCATTGGCTATTATCATTATCATAGAAATAATAAGTAAATAATGATTTAAATATTACCTGTTACTACTTACATTTCAAACAAAAAGCTACGGGACTTGCACTTGAGCTTCAAGTTTCACATTCTCTATTTAAAAAAAAAAAAACATTCTCACAATATCTCGCTCCAAGGAGATGCTGTGACATTACAAGCCTAATGTGTGCGGATGTAAGGACTCGCAAATTGATCAAGGATTATCAACAATGTTGACATTGTTACCAGCTGAAATAAAGAAGGCCAGATTTTTGACATGAGGCCCCTCTTCAATACAGGATCATTAGCATATCGGTTGGTGCTTTAGTGGTGCATACTCCTGAAGTCAAAGTCAGGCCTTTGGAGCGGCCCATAGGGGTCTGGGGCCCAGGAGCTGGCAGTTGCCAGGATTCCCTCACATGGCCTGTGAGTGTGAAAGATGAATCCACTACAATATATGCCAACGTTTTATTTAAAAAAAAAAAAAAAACTCCTTTCCCTAGGACATGTGAAGTGTACATTGCTGGACTGTGGGGCAATAGGCCATGCTGTCACTCTCTCCCGACCAGGGTCGTTACGTCACTCCGGTGAGGACACGCCTTTTTGGGGTGGTGACACAAACCGAGGGAAAGTGCTCGGAGGGGGGAGGGGTGGTGTCCCGTCGGCAGGCGCACAGACAGCAGGCAGCAGCTGCAGCGAGAAGGAGCCCGGCGCCGCAACTCTGCATTACAAACAGTCACATTACGGGTTCTTTTAGCTCCGAAACTCACGCGACGAGCGAAAAACGCACGCACCGCATCCAAAAATGGTAGACCGCGAGCAACTGGTGCAGAAAGCCAGACTGGCCGAGCAGGCGGAGAGGTATGATGATATGGCAGCAGCCATGAAATCGGTAAGTAGGCTTCCTCCGTTACGACCCTTTCTCTCGGGAGCATTTAAAGAAGATATATAGACACACAAATAGCTTCATCTATGTGCGCGTGTGTGTGCGTGCGTGTGTGAGGAATGTGTGACAGCTAGCTAACATAGCATTAGGGCAGCAATACGCAGCTAAAGGGACCGAGCCTCTGTGTCAGAGCGCGTTTTTGACTTAAGCGAGTAAGAGACGCGAAACTGGTGTATGAAAGTTATGATTAAAGAATATGTTTAGGAGAAAGACGTGTTCGCGGGCAGGATCGCGTGCTGCTATAGTAAGATTTGGGAAACATTATTGAACAGCACGGCGAGGCCCGCGCAGCCTTTGCTCACATTTGTGACCCGTTACCGCACATCTCAGAGGGTTTAGTCATGACATGACGAGGTTCTAATGAAATCAGCATTTTGCAGTGAATCAATATCTGTTGTTCTTAGGGGGGGGAGGGGGGAGCTGCGGTGGATTGTGGTTGAAATGCGGACTGTTTGATCTTGGGGCGGTGCCTTTCACCGGGTTCCTTTAAAAGAAAAAAAGCCGACCAGGCTGCTTTGTTGTAAATGAAAAAAAAAATAAAGAACCGGCGGAAATAAAGCACATTAATGACGACGAGACGTGATTTAATCGCCCGTCTGGGTCAAATGTGGGCTTGGTAGCGAAGCAGTATCAAAATGAGCCCCGTCGAAAGATGCGCATACTGGCGGAGCAGAGGGCGAGCTAGGTGGTACCACGGTGATGAGAGGGGACATGGCAGCTGTGTCGGGTTCCGGTTCTGGGTGATGCTGAGAAATAACGAGCCGTCGACTGAGTGTGATACACCACTTTTCTTTAGCTCGACGTGTAAGGTGCAACGAGCAGGCATGTGTCTCCCCCCCCTCCCTATTGGCACTCGTTTTGGCGCATTGGGAAGAGCAATGTTGGCTGAAGGATGATCGCAATCGATTTGCGCAGAAGCAGGCGCACAAAAAAAGGCGAAGCGTCCACCTTTTACGGACGTGGGTGTCGGTGGACGGGCGGCGTCTCCAGAACCCTCTGTGAATGTCATATTGCAGCAAACTGTATATTTTTTTGGGGGGGGAGGGGGGGGTCTGCTTAACCGTAGCATGACGGGCTGCCCCGTACCAATCGGTGCCCCTGTAGCAGCCGCATCCCAGTGCGTCCTCGGCCTCTCTTACGGCAGGTTCCCTCCACACAGAGGCGTGCCGCAGCATCTGGCAAAGATGCAGCAGTAGGCCCACCCGTAGTGCACCATTTCATATAGGCAGCAGGTGTTTTTTTTTTTTTTGTTTTTTTAAAATCACAGCTTCACAAAGGCTGCATCTCTCTGTGTCAGTAACTGGACAATGAGATCATGGAGGAAGGGACACATTAGCAGGGAAAGTCAAAGTATGCATCATATCTGTGCAGGACTTCATGTTGTCTTTAGTTACTAATAGGGACTTATTAGTGATAATAAAATACTTCTTGTAGCCTTTCCGATGTATTTTTTTACTAGAGGCTAGTACTTTTGGTGTCGTATTTCCATAAGTTTCCTCCATAATGATCATATAATTCTTTGTTTCTAAGAGTTGCATCAGTTTGCTTTTATTAACAGGGCCAGTCCTGCCAGCAGTAGCCTCAGCATGTTAGCCCAGGCTGTACAGGCCAGTGGTTGTGTTGAGTAGCAAAAGGAAGCAAGATTAGTGGAACTTTTTCAGCTTCAACTCCCAAGGGTCAACAAGTAAGTTGCCGGCGTGATTAAAGGCCACGCTGCGTGTCACTCTCTACGACCAGGCTGTGGTGTTAATGCTGGAGGGGGGGGGCACGGCTCCACGGCTCCACCCACTTCCCGATTTATGCTGAGTCAGAGAGAAAGGGGGAGAGAGAGAGCTGCCCCACACCCAGCCAGTCTCTGCAGCACCCAGGCAGCGGGGTGTGTCTGCTGCCTCGCCCATCCTGCGATGGGGAATCCCCGGGCGGCAACGGAGCCAGATAGCCGGGCTTTACAGAACACAACGCTGCA